CAACCACAATATTCACACTATTATTCTTCAAGAATTTGGGTTCTTCCACATATCTCCCAAACCGTTTTCTTCAATATCTCTAAAAAATCAACTCAACATTAACCCAAACAACAAAGTTTTGAAATGATATTGAATTTTTTTTTTTTTTGAATAACGTCCTTATTTTTAATATAATTTTGATGATAAAATCGTATTCATATATAATGATTTTAATATATAAAATTTATTTAAACAAAAAATTATGCAACAAAAACAACATAATAAATACTTATAAAAGATCTAAATATTCTCAACTATTTGTCATTACAATTTATAAAGTATACAAAAAGTATTGCATCAAAACAACATAATGTCATTACAATTTATAAAGTATACTTTTCTTAATTTGTCAACTTTCTCATATGTAATACTTTTTTTAACACATCAATACAATCACAATAAGTTCAATAATATTAAAAAAAAAAGCGTAGTTTTTCTCAATTCGACATAAGAAAATCATAAAAAAATAATACATTTTTTAAAATCTTTTATGAACAAAAATTTTATGTTGTAGTATAGTTGACTCGACAATATAATAGATGATTGTATAAATTACGAATATATAACTAGAATTCTACATACACTTAAAAAAGACTTAAAATATATTTTCTAAAATTAGATAAAAATTATGTCGCAAAAGAGAGATAATAAGATATCATCAAGAATAAAAAGAAAAGAGAGAAATAGAGCGTAAAATTGTAAAATTTGATATCATATTTTCTTTAGTTGGGATACCGCATTGATGTTATAATTTTAATAACGTTATGAGTTGAATTAAATTATAATTGGTTGAGTTGTAAATTAATCATTATTTGTCTTTATTCTTTTAATTTTATTTTCTAAATAGAGGACATGATTAAAATTATGAAAAATATTCCCATAATGTTTGTTAGATATCTTATGCTATTTGTTTTGGGATGATGCCAGTTTCGGGACTATTGGACAAACATGGATCTGCACATGATTGCAACAAAATATTTTTGTTATAATTTTCATTGAAAAATTCAAACGAAAATTGTAACGTTGAAATATTCGTTAGAATTGTTCTCGAAATTTCGCTGTAATATGTTTTCATTGGAATTTCATCATTTTCTTGTAATAAAAGTATGACTCCAAATCAAACTAAAAAATTCGCACTATATATAATATTGTGTGCAGTTAATTGTTTTGAAAATTGTAAATAATGATACAAAATATAACATATTTAATGTAATTATCATTTAATTTATGATAATTAGTAATTAAAAAATACATATAAGTTGAAAAGTCCTTAAATATTTTATTAGTATTATAATAATCAAAGAAGAGGCCAGAATGATGTTCTACTGAAAAGGTAATATTAATACTAAACAAGATGTAAAGATGATGTTCTACGTAATAAAAAGGTAAAACTACACAATGAGAAAGCTTATAACTGACATTCCACTCAAAAATAAAAAAAAAATGATAAAATTAATAAATGTCATATATCAATTGGAGCTAGCGAATGATAAATGTAAAATATACTTGAGATGCACATTTATAAAAAATATATTTATTTTTTTGTCTTAGAAATCGGTATGTTAGTCATAATTTTTTAGTTAAAAAATTAGTTAATTTACACCATTAAATTTCTTAATTTTGAAATACTTATTTTTATTTATTTTTTTTGGTTACCCTTTTATATGTAATATATCAAATCATTTCTTTCCCATGATATTTGATTTTACCAATGTTTTGTAAATAAAATAAAAATAATATAATTATTTATATCGATGTAAAATAATATATATATACCAATACCAATTTAAAATAATAAATAGACCTAAAAGAATCTTATAAAATAATTATAGATCCATGTTAAATTAATTTTATTAATTATAAAATAATATTAGATAAACTTGTGGTATATTTTTCTGACATAGATTTGAAATATTCATACTAAGGAAAAAGTATCTCTCATGTTTTATTTGCGTATCTCTCATGTTTTATTTGCGTTTCTTTCGGTTTGTAATTCGAACGGTGTTCGCCGCTTTGTTTATTAATAATCATCTCTGTCGTTTCGGGAAAAAAAAAATACTAAGGAAAAAGTCAATTAGATGTAATTGTACAACTATTACCAATATTAAATATGTGAATTAAAACAAAAAAATAAATCAGTTGTATGTTAAACTATTATTCAATTATTGCTTGAAAGGGAAAACCATAATGGTTGTAAAAAATATTTTTTGTGAATATAAACATGAATTAGTTACTTAATATTTTATCAGAACATGGAAATAAATTCAAAACTTTTTAATATTATAAACAATATAAAACTACATTTTTATCAAGTATATTATTACTATCAAACACGTAAAAAGAGTGCATTGCATATAATATTCTCTAATTCTTTCAAGAAATAAAATATTATTTGTGAATAAAATAAAACAAATAAAAAACAAGTAAACCAATAGTAATGCAATGATTAAAAGAAAAATTCTAAATTTTTTTAGAAAAGTATCAATACTAATATCAAGAAACAAAAATCTTTTAAAATTACTACTTTTTTTGTTGCTAGCATTTAAGTATATATTCTCTATAAGAAATTATTTCTCATAAATAATGATTCGATATTATCATAAAATAGACCACAAACTTTAATAATGACTTCATAATAATAAAGTTAACAAATGACTAAGAGTATCATAATATAGTATAATTCAAATTCTTCTCATCTGAAACATTTTACTTCTAAATATTGTCTCATTGTTTTGTTTTGTTTTGTTTTGTTATTATTGAAGAATCAATGAAGGATCTTTATCTTGAATTTGTTAAGAATTAGTTATGATACAAAACATTGGACAATAAACGCAATAAATGTTATTAGACACATAAATATTGCAAATCTGAAAAAATATGGAAGGTATCTATCTTCCAAATTAATAACACTGAAAAAGGAATGTTGAATACTGATTAAAATATTTTTGAATGTTGAATAAGTTGTCACTTTTTGATAAGAATTTACAATCACAATTGTGTATTGTGCTCGATCATACGCGCATTTGTTTTAGAGTACATATTTTCATGTAATGTGTGATGATTTCAAAAAAATAATTTAGCATCTTCATAGAAGTACATGATTTTGGAAAAACAAATTTTATATAGAGATGAAATTCGTTCCCACCTCATGGGATAAGTACTAATTTGTCTATGTGGAGAGAGAGAGAGGGAGAGAGTGAGAGAGAGAGAGAGAGAGAGAGAGAAATGTAGTAGTTTATACATTGATTAAAAGAAATATCAAGAATTTTAATGACACAAATATCAAGAAATTTAATGATACAATTGTTTATTTCACAGAGATACTTATGAACTATTAGTAGAAATACCTTATAATGATCATACAATCATAAAGTTTGACTATATATTTGGCTAAAGTATTTCTAAGTGTTGAATAAAACAGACGTTCTGCAAAATTAATTAAGAAGAATTTTGTAATACTATTGATGTATTAGAATTCAACGAGTATGAATGTTTCTTATGAGAACATCAAAACCAAAATAAAAGAAAATGACTCTTGAATCTAACATAAATAAATAAAAGAACTCATGCATCTATAATATACATTATGTCTTTATTTAGTCATTTATTGTTTTTTCATTAGGAACTCATTTTTCATATATTTTTGTTGGAGTTGTAATATGATGTTTAAATCTTTTTATATTACAACAACATTTTTATATTTAAAATAAAATGCATGAAAAGTTAATTTATTCTACATTTTATTTTGTTCCTGCAGTCATATGTGTAATAAATTAATTAATTTATCTTACTAAATTTAATCGGTAAAAAGCATTCGTCGCCACGTGCATCGCACGTGCACTTTACTAGTTTGGAAAAATATCAATGTACGACTTCTAGGGGGTGTATTCCAATCCTAAAGACTTTTTTAGGATTTGACTAAGAATAGGATTTTATGGGATTTTATCAATTTTTATGAATTTTATAGGATTTATTAAAAACCTCCCAAAGTGACATGTGGTATTATTCAGGAATTCTATAGATTTCTTAAGACTTTTCAAGAATTTTGTAGACTTTTAGTATTAAATGAATAAACATCAACATTAATATATAAATATACCATTGTGAGAAAGATTATACATGAAAGAAAATAAAAATCAATTTGAACAAGGTGAATTTTCTATTTTATTGTTTGTTTATTTATCTTTTTGTACAAAAATAGTTCAATTTATTATAATTTTCTATTATATTCAATAAACCACATAATCTCAAGACATACAATAACTGTATATTTTTGTCTCACTTATAATTGTTTTATTCTATCAAATCAACCACATAATCTCATGAAATAATTATATTTTTAACTGACGACATTAACAACAATTATGTTTGAAACACATATTTGGTGATATTATGATAATAATGTCTAACAATAACTTATCTTTTAAGAGATTCTATAAAATTTTGTGTGGCAAAATTAAAATATTGAAAAATATAAAGTAAAAAAATCAATAAAATGCAAATTCGAGGAACACAAAAGTTTCGCGTCTCATAAAATTTCATATAAAATAAAAATGATAAGCAAGTCCAATTTCTACTTTATAGCATCACTCCACATTTCATTTGCTATTGCATCCCTCCATGCTTTAGCGGCCGCTCTTTGTTGTTCTTGACTTTCAAAAAATGGACCAAAATTATCTCCTTCAGATATTGGACAAGATTGACCTGTTTTCAGGTTCAGTTGAAAATCTTTTAAAGATTATGATAAATAGCATGAGAAAAGTCATCTGTTTCATAAATACAAAATGATATCACGCTAACAATCTTCATAAAGCTAAGCATACTAAGATAGATCATGAGAGCAAAATGATCTCAAACTGAAACCTTGTTAATACTTAAGACTATATTATGCAACCTAGATTCAATCATCTCAAACTGACAGCATATTTGTAGTTACTGCAAGGAACATGGCAATAACCAACCTCGCCATATTAGAGTATTTCCTCCTAACAACTTTTAAAGAGTAGTGAAATGTACATTACATCAAAGCATTAACACATGAAGGATCACATGGTTTTGTCATCTAATTATAAATAATGTACTAATGATTTACCAAATGTGAAAATTGGTCTGGTAAAGAAACAAACAAAAAAAAAAAAAGAACAATGGCTTGTATCCACAACCACTCAATCTATATGCTAAAGGGATGTAATACTCACAAACACACACACACACCCAAACACATTTCAAAGACTATATTATTCCATCAAATGACAATAGAAAAGCTTGAGCAGTTAATTAACAAATATATCCGATTAGCTAATATTCCACACCATGGTCTCACAGGCAAGCATGAAATCTAAACATACATTAGCTTTACTGACTTTGAAATTTTAAAACAAATATTCTCGGTTTATGTACATGCACGTTACGATATATCACACATATTTACAAAAAAAAAAATGTTGTGGAGATTGCTTGTGTTTAACTAAACGGCATCTTTCTCTAAACATACATGAAATATATCCAATTATCTCATAATAATTTTGTTTAACATAAGCATGAACAGATTAGTAATTAACATGAAACAGAACCAGACTAATCATGAAATAATTTCATTAACATAGAAACAAGAAATAGAATCATTGTCATGCAAAAACGCAATTGTTATACATAAGAGATGTTAATCACAAGCATAGATGTTGATACCTTTTAGAACAATTCATGAGCAAAGAGAAGATAAATCGTCCCACTGGAAGAAAAATCGTCCCTTGTAAACCCTTTTATCGCAAAATCTCAAAATCTCTCATATACTGGTGGGATTTGTAATAGGATTTGGTATATATAATTTCCCAATGAAATACCTCTAAATCCAAATAAATGACAAATCCAAAAGAGTTGTAAAAGAAATAAATCTCTTGATTTTATGGGACTTTAAAAAGTCCAGATTGAATACCTATGAATTTTAAGATACTTTTAGAAAGTCATTAAAAATCCTAATTGAATACCTCTAGATTTTTTAAAATCTAAAAAAATCTTATTTAAATACACCTAGATTTCATAAATCCTAAAAAGTCTTTAAAAGTCTTTAAGATTCTTAAAGGAATATACCCCCCTTAATTTAGAAAAAGAAATGTAAAAAATTCATCTTTGTTGATTGATGACATTAAATTATAAATCAAATAAATGATTAATCGAAAAGATCAATCAAAACCAGAGTATCCAATCAAAAGGTTATATCCAAGCACACCCTCAACCATCATACGATTCGACCTCGTCATATTTTCTTTATAAATATATATATTTATATTATGAAATATGAAGTTATGAAATATCATACTTTCATACATTATTAAAATATGGCATTTAATTTTAAAAATACACATATACATTAAAGAAAATTATAATTGTCTAAACTATTAAATTTTGGAATAAGATCACTGTCTTATACGCACGTCAAATCAAGCCAAGGAGTGAAAGCAGAACAAACCCACATGCCGAGTTAATAAAGTGGATGGACCAATAATATTATAAATATGTTATTCATTGCTCAACCATATAAAAATCTCATCCAGGTTTCTAATAAATGACCTTTTGCGTGAGATCTAATATGCCTGACTTTGTGATTTTAAGAGAATCTAATCCAAACCCAAAATACTGTTTTCGTGAGTGTAACTACGGCAATGACTCATTTGCTTATCATCATTTCATTACACATTTTAATTGAAAAAAAAAGGCATGTCGAGTAGGGGTGTTCACGGTCCGGTTTTAACTGGAAAAAACCGTCAATCCGAACCGCGGATCGGTTAAATGGTCAGTTAAAAAAGCCTTAAAAAATCCGGTGGTTAATGTTTTTAAAAATCCGGAATAACCGGTCCGGTTAACGGATTACCTGCGGCAAACCGCCGGTTTAACCGGACCGGACCGGACCGGTAAATATTAAAAAACTATAACAAATATATATATATATATATAGGGTCGCGCTCCGGTGAGAATGGTACTTCGTGTGAGAAATAAGAATAAATGGGATCCACAAGATCACAACAATCGCGCGGCTACAGTAATTCATCCAGAATAATTAACGCCATTAACTCGAGGGTATATTAGTAACTACTCAACACAGCCAATGTCGGATAAAAAATATATTTGAGACCCTCACCTCATTCCCCTAGCTGAAACCACGAAACCCTCACCTCAAAATCCCTCCAGCTTAAATCCCCTAAACTCAAAATCGCATATGATTTCTGAATTGAATCGAATTATTGGAATTTTGTGGCCGATAATAATCAACATCTAGCTCGAATTTTCGGTTTATTGATTGTTGCGAACAAATTGGAGTAATCCGACCAATCTCCGTGAAAATCGAGGTATGAATTTCTGTTTCTCCTCGATACTTGCGACCATTGTTCTTGAATTCGAGCTCTAAATTTTTTCCAATGTACTGGAAGTTTATAACAGTGTTGATATTATACCATTCTCTCTGCTTTT